AGGCTCAAGCAATTATCCCACCTCCACCTCCCAAATAGCTGAGACTGTAGGCATGCACCACCATGCCCCGTTTCTATTTTTGGTAGAAATGGGGTTTTGCTACGTTGCCCAGGCTGGTTTCCAACTCCTGGACTTAAGCTATCACCCACCTCTGCCTCCCAAAGTGCTGTGACTGCAAGTGTGAGTCACTGTGCCCAGCCTAGACAAATTTTATAAAAAATGTTTCTGTTGCTTGCCATATCTGACTTCACCTTCTACTTCATCAAAAACTGATAAGAAAATAACATCTATATGAGTGATTTACATTATTTTCATTTTCACATTACTTCTAATTCCACAACTCCCAAAATTCCATTCCTACTTTTTCCTTTTCCTTTCCCCAAAGAGACTATATTAAAGCTAAGATTTACGATGTCTTTTATTTGACTAAAAGTTGCTTAGTGTGAACTATATTGTGTTAGACCAGCATATCCTGATATTTCAGAACATTATTGTGCTTATAAGTTTATTTTTATGAACCAAATTATAGCATTAAATCATTTATAGATAACTGCACCTAAATTTGAGTTTTTTGAAAAAAGTGTCACTTTCCTATAACTTGAAAAATTTGGCTTCCAATAGGATCAAGACCTGTCTTGGGCTGGTCAGTTGTGAAGAGTTTTCTGAGGTTGGGGCTCCTCTCACCACTAAAAACTTATTAGATACCAAATTAATTGTATATACCACACCCATGTTATGAATCCCATTATGTATACCTATGTTGTAATTCAATGTGCATAATGGGATTCATAATTCACTTCAGTGCTTCTTTAATGAATGTATAGATCACCGCCTCTAATCCTTTAAACAAACTGATGAGAACTTTAGTAATTTTGGAACATTCTAATCCTCAGTCCTCTGAGCTCAAAACAAACACATAAAACCCACAGAGTCTTATTTCCAGGGTTATAAACTCATTAAGTGTTTACTTTGCTAGCCATGGGGGCACTCTGTAAGGTACTTTGTGTTCCTGCTGTGTGTCCTGTAAAACTAATGTTCAAATTTCATAAGAAAGAACAGATGTAAAATATTTCTAACTTAACAGAAATTTGCTTTATTGTAGATACGTGGTTAAGCTATTAAATAAGTTATATTTTAAATTCACAATTTATTATTTACAATTTGAAAGTCTGTTTTTCAAATTCAGTAGTATGAACCATTAAGAAATCTTCAAAAATAATTATAGGTAACTAATTTTATGTTAATTTATTTTAATATCAGGAATTTGGGAGCTCATTTGAATAGATATAAAAAATAAGCTGTACTTAAGTGTTCTACTAGTTTATTTCATAGCTACATAACTAAAATTGGAAATGAAAGGCAAAACTTTTTTAATAAGAAGCACATTAGCAAATGCTGTAACAATATTTTTTAAACCATTTGAATTGGTTAGATATCAGTTTACATTTTAAATTTTAGCATTTAATTTTATTTTTTATTTTTTTGAGACGGAGTTTCTCTCTTATTACCCAGGCTGGAGTGCAATGGCATGATCCTAGCTCACCACAACCTCCACCTCCTGGGTTCAAGCAATTCTCCTATCTCAGCCTCCCGAGTAGCTGGGACTACAGGCTGCACCACCATGCCCAGCTAATTTTTGTATTTTTTTAGTAGAGATGGGGTTTCACCATGTTGACCAGGATGGTCTTGATCTCTTGAGCTAGTGATCCACCTGCCTTGGCCTCCCAAAGTGCTGGAATTATAGGTGTGAGCCACTACGCCCGGCCCAAATTTTAGCAATTTTAAAATGCCCAAGTTCAGTTTCTTTAAAAAATCAAATAAATTCTATCTTCACATATTTATTTGTTGTGAGAACAACTGAAACTACTCTTGGCAATTTTCAAGTGTATAATACCTTGTTATTAACTGTAATCACCATGTTGTACAAGAAGTCTCTTGAACTTATTTCTCCTGTCTAATTAAAATTTTGCATCCTTTGATCATCTTCTAGACCCTTTCTCCACAACCCTGCCCCCGCCCCTGGTAACCACCATTCTACTCTGCCTCTATGAGTTTCACTTTTTTAGATTCCACATATGACTGACATCACGTGATATTTGTCTTTCTGTGCACAGTGTATTTCACTTAGTACAATGTCCTCCAGATTCTATCTTAATGAAGATGTACATCTTCCAGCATATTAACAATTAAAAAAAAATATGGTAAGATTTTAGGAGCTAAAAAGTCAGATGACAAATACTTTCTAAAGTTAAAGAAAAGGTATTGACAACGACACTGCATGACAAAAGAATATAAGTAGATTGCAAAGTTATAATTTGTCATTTCCATAATGATCAAGGATACAATACGTTTTCTACATATATGAACTAAGTGTAAGAAAGCGATTCAAAGAAAATGATTTCTTTTTAAATTTAACCTCTTAGTTGCAGCTTTTGAAGCATTTTATTCAGATTAATCCTGGCTGAGATGAACACAATGCGTAAAATAATTATTACATAACATAACCTCAGGAGTGCTAATTCAGTTTAAAACACGGCTATTTCTATATTTTTACTGTCTGTATATAACTAGCTCTACTAATGAGAATTGCTAAATAAATAAATTATGCTTATAGAAAGGCTATGTTTCGTTTATATACCAACTTGCGTGCTTTTCACTTGAAATGGCTGTTTTAGCTAAATTGTCAAAGAAATTGAAGCAAGGGTCATCTTGTCATTCTTCCTGCCCTTTGTCACTTCTGAAGCTTCCTAAGTAACCCTATGAGATCACCAATGCACATTCATAATCCTGACCCTGATCTACCTTCTTCTCAGAGCAATGTCTGCTTTGGGAAGATAAATGAAGGTAGAATGCAGTTTTATTAATATGTTTGAAACTTCTTTGCTCCTCTCAAATATTCTTCCACAGATAAAGAGGAACACAACGATGAGCTTTGGGTTTGCATCCAAAAAGTTGATACAACTTATTTTACTCCCTTGCCAACAAAAAAACTGATGCAAAGCTTCTCTTCATACGTGATGAATTCCAGAAACAACTACATTATCAAAACTCCTTGAAAAAGTTGCTTCCCTTCATATAAATGACACATATTTATTCTTATTTTCCTAGCATATTTCACAACATGGCTTATATTACGAATTTCAACACGACCCAAAAGGCTGTGTGTTCCATCTTGGGATACAAGGCTGAATTAACAAGTTTGAGCTGATGTTCTGTCCCTTGGAGTGAGAGAGTCAAGAAAAGATCATAATCCTGGTGAGCAGCAAACAGTGACAAGAAAAAGTAAGAAGGAATATCATAATAAAACCAGAACCTGAAGAGAATGCTCCAGCATAGATACGTCAGTACCTCAGTCCCAACCTCTCTCTTCAAGACCATAGCAGCCCTACTGGCACAAACCATCTGCCAAGCAATGGAAATATTCACTCTTTCATAAGGGAGGTGGAAAAATGCTAGTTTATAGGAAAGGTCATTTTGTTGACCCATTTCCAGAATGTGTCAAGTTTGAAAGCCTAAATGAAACTTCTATAGAAACATTCTTTTTCATAGTGATGAGCTGGTGAACTATTCTAGTATTAGATATCATATATATGTATATAATTGCATTTTAGGTTTTGGGGTACATGTAAAGAACATGCAGGATTGTTGCACAGGTACATACATGGAAATGTGGTTTTCTGCCTTCCTCCCCATCACCTATATCTGGCATTTCTCCCCATGTTATCCCTCCCCAACTCCCCACCCAGTGCTGCCCCTCCCCTAGATTCCCCCCACAGACCTCAGTGTGTGATGCTCCCCTCCTTGTGTCCATGTGTTCTCATTGTTCAACATTCGCCTATGAGTGAGAATGTGCGGTGTTTGATTTTCTGTTCTTGTGTCAATTTGCTGAGAATGATGGTTTCCAGTCACAGTATTAGATATTTTAAAAATGAACACCCTAGGTATTGAAGCACAATGAGCTTCCATAAAAATTTGCAACAAATTTCTTGTTTCAGTTCATAGTATTATGTTATAAGTTAGATATTAATTTTTTGAGATGGGGTCTTTCTCTGTCACCCAGGTAGGGGTGCAGTGGTGCTATCATGGTGTGTGCCAACATTCCTGGGTAACTTTTTGTAGAGACAAGATTTCATCATGTTTCCAGACTGGTATTGAATCCCTGGGCTCAAACGATCTGCCTGCCTTGGCCTTCCAAAATGTTGGGATTACAGATATAAGCCACTGTGTCTGGCCTAGACATTAAATATTTTTAAATGAAGACTAATAAATATATTTTAATAGAGAATATCAGTAGTACAGATGATTCAAACTGAAAAAAAAAATTCTCCTGAATATATTTTGCCTAGAAAAAATATTGTTTTAAATTCCACCTCCCTCCAATAAATTCTCTTTGCCAAAATCACATAATAATGATATCATACATCGTATTGGGAAAAGGAATTCAAAACTGTGACAAGTCAGACATAAATATTTTAACTAAAAAGACTTGAGTTTTGTCTGCAGAGAATACCACTCATTTTAATGTTTGAAATACAATTGCCTCACTCCCAGTGGGAACCCTTACTATGTAATACAAGAAACCAGGTTCGGTCTTGCTCACAGTTGAATTCCTATAATGAAGTTCAGCACTTCAAGGGGAGACTGGCATAGATCATTAAACCTAATCAAGCAAATAGTAATTAATAGAAATGAAAGAAGACTATGCCACAAAGAGAAAAATTACATTATTTAATGATTGTTAAGACTAAGTTGAGAGCTGAATTACATTGGAAAGCCCAAAGGAAAACAGCAAAATAGAAAACAACTCTGGTTTGAAATAACTAGGTAATTTTAAATTTTAAATTAAAATGCTTAGCAGCTTTCATCTTTATCCATGTTTACTTTAAAATAACTGATCCCAAAGTATTACATGAAATATTGCAGAACTAGTGATCTGGAGATGTTTTAGCACCACAGAATCTTGTTTGTAAGGAAAACATACACATAATCAGTATACTCACTGGAGGTGTTGATACTTGAGTTATTCTTAGTTGGCTTTCCAAATCTTGTACTTTATTTTTAAGTTCCATATTCTCTGTTTCTAAATCTTGGATCTAAAAAGAAAATGATTATTGAATAATTTTCTGTTTTTTTTTTCCTTAGAAAATACTGGCTACAGTTATGATTAGGATTTTGCATTACATAAAATTTTAATAAGCATTGGAAATGTTGGAGGACTCTAGTTCATTGAAAAGACTTAAATTTATAATATATTTTTATGTGTGTGCAAATTTTATGTTCCTAATGCCTCAACTTTGTGTTTTCTTGTTCGACTGTGCAATCTATACTCATAATCTTGGAGTATAACCGCAAGACAGTGAAATTTGCTTATGATGATTTTGAAGAGTGGAGAAAGGGCATAATTTAATCACAAAGGAATCTGATCTCCATGGAAAACCACTTACCCAGCATCTGCTGCTTCTGCTGCTCTGATCCCCATGAGAAGCATCAGGAAGTGAAGCAAAGTCACATGAGAACACTAAGTTCTTGTGGGAATTCAATATAAAATAGTTAAAAAAAAAAAAACTGTGCAGGGGATCAGGAATGAAAAATTATAGGAACACAGTGAAAGCAGTTCCAATCAGTCAGTGTGGGGAAAATTTAATGGCAGGCCTTCTAAATTTGTTTGATGATATGCAAGTTTCCCTGTACTTATATATCACACAAATGTAAAACAACAAGCTTAGTTTACTCACTCTTTTTTGTAACCCTGCGATCTGTTTTCTTGTTTCAACATCTTTTCCTCCTGATTCTAGAAATTTCCTGTATGCCAGGTCAAATGCTTGGCCAATTGTTAAAGTGATCTCTTCAGCCTGTGTAAAAATGAAACAAAGGTTTGCATTTTAATATGTTGAACTTTTTTTGAATCAAGGAAACAACATTCACGTAAGTATTGACTCCAAGACATTCACAAGAGGTACTTCAAAAGGACAACACTTGGAAGTAGAGGTGCAGTAAATGAGTAAGGTAGTATGCTAAGATGATAACTCAATGCCTACCCACGCACAACAATGAAAAAGAAAGCAGACTTCGTGTTGGGCATTACTGAACAGCTGTTGAAGTGGCAAAGTTGGAAGCAAGAGTTCTTTCTGTCAGACATTTATTTCCTACTTGTTTTCCTGCCTTCCTCAAATATTTAGTGCCTATTAAACAAAAGCAGAGTGCCAAATGCAGTTTCTCTCCTTGGTTTGCTACTTATTTCCTTTTCCTGAGGAGGGTTTGTTAAACTCTAAACAGGTAACGTGAATGAGGCTGGCCAGGTGGTGTCTTTGGAAAACTTGAGGTATGCCCTCTAAATAGAACACCTGCTACTCGGTTCCAGTTAATTGTTATCTGGTGGAAGTGAGCAATTCCCATCTGAAACTGTCAGATTTTACATATGCAAGATGAGGTCAGAAACCTGAAACTTTATGTGAGAGCTCCCAATTTTAAGCGATAGTAAACAGTTTGTATTTTAGTAAAACACAGTGCCAATAATCAAAATATATTTGTCTTCTGAATTTGGGCTTGTAAACAACTTACTATCTCAGTTCTACTGATTAGAAACTGCCACAAATATATCTTAGGTCCACCAGCTTACTTCTTCTCCATTCACATCTCCATTGAATTCATGATGTCTTGCACATTGTAAGGATTAAATATTTATTTACTTAATCAAATTATAAAGAATTTTGGTTGAGGCATTAAGAAGATTTAATGTGTCATAATTATGTCATATTTAGTAAGACCTCCAGTTAACAAAAGACTAGCATAGTAGTAATATATTGAAAATGCTATGCTTTAATTATACTACAAATTCTAATACTTTATTATCTACTGTAATCAACATAAAATAAAAATATGATTTGTTAATAAGCTTAGATCATTTAATGGAATTTTTTTATAGTTCATGATTTAAGAAGGGCTTTAGACAAAAATTATATTATTTAACCTAGTTAACTAAAAAATGCAAAATTTGTACATAATATTATAAAAAGTTTTACAAAAGCAAAGAAAAAAAGACAAGAAAATAAACCCCAATGAGCTAAAATAAAAACTACTAAATAAATGAAAATGACAGATACCAGTTTATACATGTTCAATGACTCAAACTAATTGGTTATGTTAGATGTTAAGATTATTTGTAGTATTAGAAAGTGGTAGAAGTAGTTTTGATTGATTTGGGGAGTATAAATAATTTGTTTTCCTAATTCCAAAACTTTGGGTAATAGGTTTGTATTTAAGATAAAAAGACATTTTTCTTCTTCCTTTTAAAAATTTCCTCTAAAAAAAATGGGATACATGGGCAGAATGTGCAGGTTTGTTACATACATATTACGTGTGCCTTGGTGGTTTGCTGCACCTATTGACCTGTCCTCTAAGTTCCCTCCCCTTACCTCCCACCCCCAACAGGCCCTGGTGTGTGTTTTTCCCCGCTCTGTCTCCATGTGTTGTCATTGTTCAACTTCCTCTTATGAGAACATATGGTGTTTGGTTTTCTGTTCCTGTGTTGGTTTGCTGAGGATGATGGGTTCCAGCTTCATCCATGTCCCTGCAAAGAACATGATCTCATTCCTTTTTATGGCTGCATAGTATTCCATGGGCCATATGTATCACATTTTCTTTATCCAGTCTATCACTGATGGCTATTTGGGTTGTTTTCAAGTCTTTGCTATTGGAAATAGTGCTGCAGTAAACGTACATGTGCATATGTCATTATAATAGAATGATTTGCATCCCTTTGGGTATATACCCAGTAATGGGATTGCTGGTTCAAATGGTATTTCTGGTTCTAGATCCTTGAAAAAAATTGCCATACTGTCTTCCACAGTGGTTGAACTAATTTACATTCCCACCAACAGTGTAAAAGCATTTCTATTTCTTCACAGCCTCACCAGCATCTATTGTTTCCTGACTTTTTAATAATCACCATTCTGACTGGTATGAGATGGTATTTCATTGTGGTTTTGATTTGCATTTCTCTGATGATTAGTGATGCTGAGCTTTTTTTCATATGCTTGTTGGTCACATAAATATCTCCTTTTGAGAAGTGTCTCTTCATAGCCTTTGCCCATTTTTTGATGGGGTTGTTTTTTCTCTTGTAAATATGTTTAAGTTCCTTTTAAATTCTGGATATTAGACCTTTGTCAGATGGGTAGATTTTTAATTATAGGTTGTTTTCCTTTTAAATTATAATTTCAATATATCCTTTTAATGAGGCATTATGTTATCTTCAAATACTCAATTTGTACATTGTAAAGAATCATTTAAATGATAACACTGTTGATTATTAATGACATTTGGCTTCATGGTAAGTATTATTTATATTAATAACTTTAAAAAATCATGTTCCATTTTTATAATAATATCTTTATTGGGCACTTAGCTGTCTCATAAATATTCTACATGTATTATCTTATTGATTCTCATCATTAACTCTGACGTTATTATTATTAATACATATGATGAAACTGCAATTTTGTAAAATTGTATAACTTGCCTAAAGCTAGTGAGTGGAGAACCTGAAATTCAAATCCAGATTTTCTGACTCTCCAACCATCACACTTTTGGGGGTGGGGAGTAAAATTTATATACAATGAAATGCACAGGTCATAATAAATTTATAGATCATAGAAGCTACATAATCCCTAACTTATTAAAGATAAAGAATATTTCTAGCCAACCAGAATGTCTCTTATGCCTACTTTCAGTCAAATCCCATCTATTACGGGTGACCATTGCTCAATTTTTGCCATTATAGATTTGCCTATCCTTATCATCTACAAAAATAGACCATATAATATGCATTTTTTTGTCTATTCTTTTACTAACTTAAAGTTTTTGAGTTTCATATGTTTTGTACATATCAACAACACATTGGTTTTGTTGCCTATTAGCATTTCAATATGTTACAAATATACCACAAGTGATTTATCCATTGTATTATTGATGGGCATTCATGGCTTTGTCAGCTCTTAGTTATTAGACATGAAACTGGTACAAACATTCTTCTAAGATCTTTTTGTAGACATATGTTTTCTCAATTCTTGGTAAATACCTAGAATGTAATTGTTAAATCATGCGAGGTCTACCTTTAATATTATAAGAAACTGTGCAACTGTTTTCCAAAGTAATAACATCATTTGGCATTTCCACCAGCAGTAACAGAGTTCTAGTTATGCCACAACCTCATAAACAACAGATATTGACAGTCTTTTTTATTTGATTCATTTAACTGGATGAGTGATGCTATAGTGTTTTAAAATTACATTTCCCAGTTGAGTAATAGTATTAGCTCAGTTTCATGTGTTCGTTGTCCTTTTTACGTTCTCTTTAATAGACTAACTTCCTGTAGAAGTCTACTGCCCACTTTTATTGGTGTTTTGTCTTTTTATTAGTGATTTTTAGGAGCTTTTTATATGGTCTGGATACAGATCCTTTTTCAGATACACATATTGGGGATACAGTTTCATAGTATGTGGCTTGCCTTTTCACTTTGCTGATAATGTTTATAGACTAACAGAAAACATTTTATTTTTTATAAAGTCCATTGAATCCTTTTTTTGGTCATGTTTAGTGCTTTTGGGGTCATTTCTAGGAAATCACTATCCATCTAAGTTCATAGTGACATTCAATGTTTTTGTAATAAAAGTTATGTATAAGATTACAAAAGCTTCTACTTTTATGTCTATGATCCATCTCAAATGATTCTATGCAGCATAAGAAGATAATTCTTTATAATTTTTTTCACATATTTAGCTAGTTATTTCAACACCATTTATTCAAAAGACTTTCTTTTTTCCATTGAATTTTTTTGTCACCATTTGTGAATAAAAGTTAACCATCTACGTATGGATATTTCTAAAATCTACAATACAGTTTAATTATTATCTGTTTATCATTACATTAATACCACCCTGACTTGATAAGAGTTTAAGGTAAGTTCTGAAATCAGAAATGCTTCTCCAGATTTTGGTCTTCTCTCTCCAAATTACTTTGGTTTTATTTCAGGTCACTTATATTACCATATTAGAAGTAACTTTTCAATTTCTACTAACAACCCCATTGTGATTTTAATTAGAATTGTATTGAATTCATGGATCAATCAATTTGGTAGAATTGACCACTTAATTAAACTGAGCCTTCCAACCCATGAATATTATATCATTCTCCCATTAATTTAGGTCTTCTTTACTTACAGCAATACTGTGAAGATTTCAGTATAGATGCCTTGCATATTTTGAAAATCCTCATTATTTCATGTTTCCTGATGCTATGGTAAATACATTTTTAGTTCTTTCTTTTTGTTAGTAGACAGAAACAATTTAATTTTGTATGTTGACTTGTAACCTTTATTTTTACTAAATTTGTTTCACAAATCTTGTGGTTGTAGATCCTCAGCATATTTTTGTAAAAAAGTTGATATTATATCCATGAAAAAGACAATTTTTTACTATTTCTTTCCAATCTGTGTGCCCTTCCTCCCCATCTATTCACTAGTGAAGACACCCAATACCATGTTAAATAGGTAGTAAGAATGGACATCTTTGCATTGTTCCTAGTCTTAGGAGGAAAGCATTCAATAATTCACCATTAGTTATGATGTTACCTGTAGGACTTTTAAAGTCTTTATCAGAAAAAGAAATAACTCTTCTATTCCTAGCATGTTATGAATTTTACCAGCAATTGGGTTGAATTTTGTCTAATGCCTTTTCAATATTTGCTGAAATGATTGTGTTATTATTCTGTTAAGATGTTGTATTATGTTAATTTATTTTTCATATGTTAAACCAAACTTGTATTACTGGGATAAACCCCACCTGGTAATAATGTA